AAGAGAAAAAAAAGTGAGAAAAAAGAGAAAAAAAAGAGAAAAAAAAGAGAAAAAAAAGAGAAAAAAAAGAGAAAAAAAAGAGAAAAAAAAGAGAAAAAAAAGAGAAAAAAAGGGGTTTTAAAGGGAATACAACCAAAAATGTATTTGTAAATACAATGTATTTGTATTGTATAGGCTAGAAAATGAATACAACGTATTTGTATTGTATTCACTAGCAGATGCAATACATGTATTTCAAAATACATGTACTTCTGACGAAGTGCAATACGCTGTATATGCCTATACAATACGCGTATAGGACTCGTTGCACCGTTGGTGGGTGGACCGTTATTTTTGGATGCCTGTTTTGAACCCCAGAGCTCCGAAAAACAGACTTGAAGTCATGAGACTTGTTCAGGTGGTGCATAATAGGTCCCAGAAAATTGATATGAAAAAATAAAAAGAAAAAGTAAAGTTTCAAAATTTGTGAAAAATAAAGAATAAAACTCATTTTTTTCAAAAGCTTTGATATTCATTTTGGGGGAGTGGGAGTGCTGAGAGAAAGAAAGAGGGGAACATGGGAAGAATGATTATAAATGAAAAAAATTGGAACCAAAAAAGGTTTGGCCAGGTTGGTTGTCCAGATTAGAGCCAAAACAGTAAATACTAGTGCTTTACTGCAATGTGGGCTGGTGAATGCCCCAATCAACAGCTCTTTGAAGCCATCTGGAAAGCAATTTTTCCCAAATTTTCATTCATAATCATTCTTCTGATATCCCAATTGTCCTTTCTCTCAGCACTCTCACTCCCCCAAAATGAATTTCAAAGCTTTAATTGAGAAAAACAAATTTTATTTTTTATTTTTCACAAATCTTGAAACTTTGTTTTTTGTTTTTATTTTTTCATATTCATTTTTTGGGACCTATTCTGCACCAATTGACCAAGTCCCATGACTTCAATCTGGTGCCTTGAAGCTCTGGGATCCAAAACAAGCAGCCAAAAATAACGGTCCACCCACTGTATGTACATGAGATTTTGGCCTGAACACAAGTGCGTCTGAGAAGGGTACTTCTAGAGTGGATTTTAATGCTCTGAGATGGTCTAATCTGATATGAATTAATCTCTAAGTGCCCTTCTAATACAACTCCCTCGAATCTTGTATATAAGGAGCTTTGTTTTCATCTTCCTTTGTTCCACATCAGATCCTGCCCCAGCAATTCAGATAACTGATCACCCATTATTAGCCAGGTATTTGCCCATCAACATTATGGATACCTTGATTTGTGACAAGTTTATTTAGACTAGTAACCATAAGAAATATTAGACATACCATCCTCAAGAAATCTCCACAGCCACACCTTTTTCCTTAAGAGTCCATACTCTTATATTTTCTTGTTATCAGAGAGGCAGCCCAATAAAGCACTCATCCCTCTCAAGCTCTATTCCTCCCAAGAGTAGTTCCACACCGCCTATCCTGCCTGATCAAGCCCTCTGGGCACATTCCAAACCCCTGGTGGCACTCAGCCACACAGGACATTGGACTGTGACCAGCCTGGCTCGCACCGTTGTTGAGTAAAACTAAAGATATAGTGGACTATGTATATAAAATAGTGTGAATGTGAACCAAATGACATGTGGAAATATGTAAATGTATGTCAATCCATACTCTGTCATAACACCAACAGTGCACTGGGCCATCACATAAGCTGAGAAGAGACCCAAAATCTGGGACACCTGAGGCAGAAAAGAATTTGAAATTGGTAAATTAAAAAAAGGTAAATCCATAAAATAGCCCGGTTCACAATAGCCAGTTCCAATGGCTGCTCACCTTTTCAAAAGTTGCTGATAGCAATTATTTTTGGATGGATCTGGAATAATCTGGGGGACTCTGGACTAAAAATTCAAAAAATGGATGTGTTTTTAAGTATCAATGGAGCACTTCCCATCATTATCTGTAGGCCCTACAGAATCAGATTTGAACCCATTTAAGTCAGGTTTTGCATGGAAATCTGATTCAAGGGCTTACAAACCTGGTTTTATAGGGGCTACACAACCAACAGGAAGTCCTCCAATGATTTGCTGATTACAGCTAGAAATTTTGCTGATGAATCATGGCTATTGTGAGCCAGGCTAATGCAACAAAAATAGTGGAATTGGGTTCAAGCTTTATTTTCCCAAACTCAACACAAGTACCTCCAAGCAAGTTGTGCAGCAACCTCCAAACAAGGAGGGACTTGTGTCCAAAGTGGCATGCCTTGCCCTACAAACTCCACCCTAATGGCAGGAGAAATGGCCCCCTCCCCCATATTTTGGGGTACTCCCCTGTTACATTGGGCTTTTTATCTTGAGGGGTTGAGCATTAGAATTGTAGGCTTCCACGCAGCTTATTTTTACCCACTTCAAACTTTTGAATATACATTGCCCCTGGCAAGAAATGTGTTGGAATTTCATCTCTGTTCCCTTCCTTTCTTCTATTTTTCTTACTTCTGCCTCAATCCCAATCTTAGTGATCACTTGGATCTACTCTTTCACCGTTATGAGATCTTCCCCACTATAGTCTGTCTCATCATTTTGTTATGAAATCTGACCCCCTGACGTGTAGTCATAGAACCCTGATCAAGGAGGGCTTATTTTCTCTCAGTAATGTTTGCTTATCTTCTTGGTTGGAGATACTCCATTCCTGGTGTTTGTTGTTGTACCCTCTTGTTCTCTCTTGATTGTTCTTTTTATTTCTATTCATTTTCTTGTTTATTCATCTGGTTCACAACCACAACTCAAACTCTTGTACCTAGTCTATTTTAACCTAGCCTAGTACATGAAATTAAAAACCATTGGTTCTCCTCATAACCTGAGTCTGACCACTTTTTTTGCCCTTCAAAAAGTGACACCTGAGTCCGTTCAAATCTTCTCTTCCTCACACTGCTCAGAATTCTCTCAAAATGTCCTGTGAAATCTTTGATGTTGAAAAACTTGGTGAGAAATACACCCCAATTATGGCCCTATTGGGCATATCTGGTCATAAAACCATGTCTTGAATCAATATATTTTTTCAATCAGAGCCTTTCTGTCAGAACTCATCCAAGGCAATTCAAAACTGTTGTATTGAGGATCGCATACCATGCATTGGCCAAAAAGCCTGATGTGAGATTTTTTTTTTGTGATCTGTTATTTGAAAGCTCAAAAAAAATCAAATTTGGTTACTGTGCAAAATAAGGAACATCACTGACGAAGAAGTGAGCTCCACTGGCACTTATGGTAGGTAGATACAAAAGAAACTGTCAGATTAAGGCTGAGATGGCAGGCTACAAAAATTTCTACTTTTTTTTTACCAAAATGGTTCAGGGTATTCTTAAAAAATTCAAGTGAGGGGTTTTTTTGCGCAAAACTCATTTCTTCCCTTGAAGTTGAGCCAAGCTGAAGCAAGCAGTGACTTTGGAGGCAAGTCTCTCCTTCGAGGACCTACTCGGGGGACTTCCCCGGGGGACCTCCCCGGAGAAGATTAGCTGATCCCGCTGCTTGATGACAAGCTCCAACTTTTTCACGAAACCACTTCAAAACGAAAGGACCAACAGGATGCCACCAACAGACAAGCTCTACAACAACGAGCAAGAAGAGCCAAACAGTCATGAACTCAGCTCGACCCACTACAGACCATATCAACATCCAAGCTCATCAGACCGAAACGCGTTTGGGGATGATAGCGATAGCGAGGATCAAGTACACCACTCCCAAGAAGACCAGGAGCCACCTGAATTCGATGTCTACAAGGGTGACCATCAGTCTCGCCACTTCTCACCAGCAGTAAAACAAAAGATATAACTAGCTGATGTCGAGTTGAAATATATCCTCCAGACTTCAATAATACCGGGGTTAGATACACAACACTATTACATGGGATGACAGATGAATCAAAGACACGAGATCAAGAACGAACGAACTCGCCCCCATCGATGCTCATCCATTCGGAAAAGTCACTCGCCAAAAACTACGCTTCTGTCGATCAGGACCTCTCTCCCAGCCCCTCTCAGGCCAGATTCCAGGTCGACCAACCCGAGCCTCCTACGACTCCTTCTAACAAACAGAAGGGGAAGACCATGCAGTTCAAAAAGCGGAAGAATCGCTGGAAGGTCGGGTCGATCATCGCTTTTGTGGCTATTGCTTGGTCAGCCTTAAAGTCTACACCTTCCTTTCAAGACCCAACCAATCGAAACTGAGCTTGAAAAATGTCTTGGGAAAAAAAAAAAACACAGTTTAGGAGTCGTGATATATTTCATGATCCCAAGACAGCCCTTTATCTCATTTGAAGCCCCGCCACGACTGATCAAGAAGGAGGACAACCATCTGATCTTCAGTGCATCCAAGCCGACGAACTTCTCCTTCGAAGCTCAACTGGACCTCGCGCTCGACGGCAGGGCCTCCTATCTGCCCGTCCTCGTCCGCGACTTCAAGGTCTCCATCAACGATCTCGGCGCTTCCTCAGACTCCGTTCGTGTCGGAACTGGCTCGCTCGCTCATGGGTTTACCGCTGGGACTAAGAATCTTACCCCACTTACGCTCGACATTTACTTCGAATACACGTCCGTCACTCACCCTTTTTTCATAAAAACACTCTCTCACACTCAATCTAAACTTTTTTTTTGGATCATTCCCATGATCATTTAATTGTTTTTTTTTTCATTAAAAAAACAGGACAAAGTTACCTTCGGATGCGTTATGGCAAGCCTGGCGAAAAGCGTGTGGCAACATCGGAGAATCGACGGTGAATGGGACGATCACGCGGCCGTCGCTCCAGCTCTTCGTCCTGCTCGAGTTCAGCGTCCTCGGCATGTTCGGCACCCGCTCCGATGGCACCCAGATCACTAATGTCGGCTGTCCCGCTGAACTTCCTGTCGGCGCTCCTTCGTTTTAACTTTCTTCTTCTTTTGCCTTCGTTGAGTTGTGCATTTTCCTTTCCTTCTGCATTCTTCTATCATTATGGTTCTTTTACTGTTATTTATAACAAATATACCTCATCTTTTTTGTATATGTACATCAATAATCATCCTACATTCATATCACTTATCAGGACCAAACACTTCTTTTCTCTCTTTCTCTCTCTCTGCAATCTTTTGTCTTCGTTTTTTTTGTTAACTTGAGAAAGAATCTAATTCTTGGATACACAGCTATCTCATTTATATATATACAATACATAGGTGATGACAATTTAGATAAATCACTTTTGACATGTAATTTCTTCTTTTTTTGATTAGATGCATGAATGAAGCAAGTGTACCTTTGGATGTGTTGTTCAACATGCATACCCTAAAAAACCAAGCGAAAATTGATTCAGAAAGAGATATGTTGATTGATATTCTACAAAGGCAAAGTATGTGCCACTCTGTGGATCTCAATGAACAGGTTATACCCTGACCTGAGCCTAAGGTGTTTTTTTTGACTGGCTGTCTATATATGTACTAATCATGATGGATAGGTTTTCTTATCAGAGATCTGTCTTGTGTTGCCCATTAAAATGTGATCAAAGAAGGAAGATGATAGGTGTGGGTTTGTATCAGTCAGATCAGGTACATATCCTGATTTCTTTTCAAAATCTAATGCAACTACAATATACTTCTGATTCTGTTAAGTCACAACTGGCTAGAAGTGGTGTCATCACTAGGTTTTTTCTATGTGCTCTCAATGGGCAGGGGTGTTGTTTGTTTATTGGATATATGCATCTTAGGTAAGCCATCACTTGGTCATCGACACTCCAACCAATCAGCAGCCAGCTCAACCGACTCAAGAAAACCACATATTATTGACAAAATACCATCGAGACCATGGCCAGCCTCAACCGACTCAGGAGAAGCAAGCAACTCATCAGATCATACGCAAACATCTCAAACAAACACTACCCATCCATCACACCACCCTACCATCGATTGATCCAGAGACTCCGCGATGGCCGAGAACAACTGATTCCATCAGCACAACGGGAAAGACTGACCTTGGCAGAAAAGATCTTCATCAGTCACTTGGACGATAGCCATTTCGATGGACAGACCAGTCATCTAACAAGGGGGAGCTCATTTGTCAAGCTCAAGCCAGACAGAGTAGCCATGCAAGGTATGGATCAGGACACATTCACCACAAAAGGGGCACACATCCTGACAAAGAGTGCTTGTGAATCGAAAGATGCTTCTGCGCAGATGGCCTTGCTACAGTTCGCAACCTGCGAGATGCGCTCGACGGCAGTGCCGACATCGATCCATTGTGACCATCTCATCGCAGCCTCCGAAGGGGCTTCCAATGACCTCCAACGTGGGATCGACAGCTCCAGGGAAGTGTTCGATTTCTTGAGGAGTGCTAGCGAGAAGTATGGGATCGAGTTCTGGAAACCTGGAAGTGGAATCATCCATCAAATCGTCCTCGAGAGTCGGTCATCATCCTTCTGATTATTCTTGACAAGGCACATTCAGACTGACTGATCTGAAGGTATTCTGTTAGGATAGATTATGCCGCACCAGGACTGTTCATGCTTGGGACTGACTCTCACACACCTAATGCTGGTGGATTAGGGGCTATTGCTATCGGCGTCGGTGGGGCTGATGCCGTCGATGCGATGACTGATACGGCTTGGGAGACCAGGTTTCCAAAAGTCATCGGCGTCGAATTGAAGGGCAAGATGAACGCTTGGACCAGTCCCAAGGATTTGATCTTGCATATCCTCGGTAAACTTACCGTCCGTGGTGGCACTGGCTTTGTTATTGAATATCATGGGGATGGGGTCCATCATCAATCGGCAACAGGCTTGTAAGACTTCTTTTATATATATATATATTCTATCAATCGAAATCGAAAGATTAATTCTATTTCCGCATAGGGCTACGATTTGTAATATGGGCGCTGAGATGGGCGCAACGACTTCCCTGTTCCCATACACAAAACAAATGAAATCTTACCTTCAAGCTACCAATCGATCGCCCGTCGCAGAAGCCGCAGATGAAGCCCACGCACAAGGGTTCCTATCAGCAGACCCCAATTGTGAATACGACCAACACCTGTCCATCAATCTTGACGAGCTGGAGCCTCACATCAATGGCCCTCACACACCCGACCTGGCTACTCCCTTGAGCAAATTCAAGGCCTTCATCGAAAAGAATAACTGGGATGATCGGGCTAGTGCTTGCTTGATTGGTAGTTGCACCAACAGTAAGTCCTTTTTTCGGAATATGTTGAGGTGGTCGAATTTTACAAGAAAACGTTGAAATCGAATGAAGAACCAACTTTCTTTCAGGCAGTTATGAGGACATGTCTCGAGTTTCGAGTATTGCTAAACAAGCCCTCGACAAGGGCCTCAAAACTCAGACCAAATTCATGATCACGCCTGGCTCGGAGCAGATTAATTCGACCATTGCTCGGGACGGGATCAAGCAGACTCTGGAGTCCGTCGGTGGGGTCGTCCTGGCCAATGCGTGTGGACCTTGTATTGGGCAATGGGAGCGAAAAGAAGAAAAAGATCAGGAGAATGGTAATCTGCTACTTCCTTTCCTTGAATAAACTCAATACTGATGTCTTTTGATATATCTCCTCAGCTATTCTTACGTCTTTCAATCGTAACTTCAAAGCAAGGAATGACGGGAATAGGAAGACCATGAACTTCTTGGCTTCACCTGAACTGGTCACTGCTATGGTCGGTTAGCCCTGTCACTTTTCCTCCTGATTGAGCAGGTTTTGATGAGGTCTCGAATCTCTTGTCTTTTTCCGATCAGGCATTCTCTGGAAAACTCTCCTTCAACCCAATCACGGATACGCTGACGGATTCGAATGGGAAGCCGTTCAAGTTTGAGCCCCCACATGGGGATCGTCTACCGGCCCAAGGATTCGACCAAGGCAACTTGACATACATACCCGAGCCTGTCCCCAGTCCTAAGCCGGAGACGCAAATCAGCATTGACCCCAAGTCATCCAGGCTCGAGATCCTCAAACCTTTCGAGCCACATTGGACGGACCTGCAGCAACCGCTTGAGTTCAACGATCTGAAATGCTTGATCAGGATTCAAGGAAAATGCACGACTGATGAAATCTCGGCCGCTGGCAAATGGCTCCAATTCAAAGGCCATCTCTCCAACATCAGGTACCCACCCCCTTCTCAAACTTTGTTTCCCGCAGACTGTTGCTCTCAAGTCCTAATATTGTCATCTTCTCTCCCCTCCTTCGGTTTCTAGCGAGAACACTCTCATCGGCGCTAAGAATGACGAAAACGGGAAAATCAATTCCGCCCTGGATGCGACTGATAATGGGCAAGTCGTCGAAGACACAATCCCTAATGTAGCCAAACGATGGAAGTCTAGTGGCCAGCCCTGGATGGTTGTTGCAGACGTGAGTTTCAGCTCCCATCTATCTATCTATAACCCTTTTTTTTGTTTCGTTGAAACCCAGATTGATGATGCTCATTTGACGATTCTTGGGAAATCCCGGGAATGAATCGATTGGAAATAGTATAACTATGGAGAAGGCTCAGCAAGAGAACATGCGAGCATGCAGCCCCGATTCCTGGGCGGCAAGCTGATCCTTGCCAAGTCGTTTGCGAGGATCCATCTGGTGAACCTGATCAAACAAGGCATCCTGGGCTTAACATTCAAGAAGCCCGAGGAGGATTACCGGAAGATCTCGGCGGGAGATCGGCTCTCGACGCGAGGCCTCGATCGGGTCTTGGGAGGAGACCTCGCCCATCAGGTCGAGCTCGTCGTCAATAAACCCGACGGATCCTCGCTCGTCGTTCCCACCCTTCATGGCCTTAGCTCCCAGACTATTAGGTTCATTAAGGCCGGGAGCGCACTTAATCTCATCCGTCAACTCAAAAATTGATCACATTTAGTCCTTTTCTTTGTTTCGAGAGAGCGAGGAAGGGAAGGGTGTGGGGTCTGTCTGGTCTGCTTCGATCGCTTGCCTCCTTCTGCTGCTCTCGATTTACCTCCAAGATAGAAATACAAAGATATATACCCGATCTTTTTTTAGCTCGTTATTCTCGATTGATTCAATGATGATGAGGACCGTTCCTCTTCTTTTATTCTCCCCTCCCCTCCTCCACCTCTTCCCTTCTTTCTCCCGATCTCTCTCTCTCTTTGTTTTTTTGTCGTTCCTCATTTCTTGCTCTTATGATACAACATTTATGAATATATCCTCTTCTTGTTTACTTTCTCTTTTTTTCTGGTGAGGAAAAAACAACAACAAAAAACAAAGTTTGGTCATACAGTGTGAAATCGGCAGGGGGTTCTTGATGGGTGGGTATGAGAAGAGCAGACGACCACTTGAAAATGCAGATTTATGTAACGACAATGTCTCGTGATCGAATGCTTTGTGAGAGAAGCCCTTCAGAATGGGTTATCCGGCGCGTCATCATTTCATGATCGCCATCGATTAAAGCCCCCCCCCCCCCGTCAGTTCCCGATCATCAGAGCAAAAAAAGAAAAACAGAAAAAGAATTGTCCCAACAGTGGCTTGAACACTGGACCTTCAGATGAGCTGTGGGCCATGGAACATCATCTGACTGTACGCCTCGATGATGTATGGCCCTCTTCAGTCTGACGCTCTCCCAACTGAGCTATTGAGACCGCTCGATGACCTCATGCCCTCCTTCTGCCATTATACTCTTACGTAATTGCAGGAGTTGAAGGTTGTTGGGAATGCAGGAAAGTTATTGGTATGTCTATGAGGGGGATGGACCACCATCTGGTCTGTTGTAGCTAATTAGGCTGGGAAACACTTCATGGGGCTATGATTCTTGCTTGAAGAGGTACAAGCTCCACTATTCACACACTCCAGAGCTTACAGAATAGAGCTTGTATGTAGCCTCTTATGTGCTCAGTGTGCTTGTTTTTGAAATTTGAATGAACTTCCTCCCACCCTCCCAAAGAGATAAGTCAGCTCTCTCTATTAAGATGGAGTTGCTTCCATGCAAACACATCTTTGTGATTTCTGTCTCAAAATCGGTGCAAGTTCAAGCAGAAATGGGGCGGGGGAGATCGGAGGAGTTGGAAACACAGCGATGGATGGCTGGAGAAGTCTTTGATCACATGGAATGTCCATGGACGTCCTGTGATGGGGAACTTTCTCTGAGCTTTTTTGTTCTTCTAGACTTCTTCCATGACATATACATCTATGTGCAATGATTTGCATATGAGTTCTTTGAATAGCTTTGAAGAGCTTTCTGGAAGTGATCCCCAGTTGTGATGAAAGCTTCCGGATGCATAAGAACTAATTGACTCACTGAAGGTTTGGGTGGTTTCTGAACAATATGGAATTCTTATTGGACAAATTGATCCGTAAGCAAGTTTATCCACAGAATGGAAAAGAAAAAAAAATCTACTTTTCTTGGTTTCCAAGGACCAGAAACGCAGTCAATCTGAAACTTGTTTTTTTTTTGGCTTGATCTTATATAAGGGAGGGACAGAAACAAAGAATAAAGATAAGAAGGAGCTGGAGTGAAAAGACATGAGTAACTTGATCAAAGAGAAGAGCTTGATTTGAGGTTTTTCTTTCTTCTCACCAAATTGATGTTGAGTACTTGAAATGACTCGAGTTTTGGGATATTGAGGTTTCATAGTGTAGTTGGAGAGGATGGAGTTACTGAAGAAGCAGATGGGAAAGAAGGCAAGTGTTTTGATGAAACAAGTTGAATCAATAAGGGAATAAGAAAGTAGGTGAGTGTGAGATCAGATTGTCAGTGATTAGGTTTATATTTGTGATGGAGTTTTCATTCAGGAAGGAGTTTCTTTGATGTGAGGAGTTGCTGTGCATTGGATGAAACATCCTGTTCCGGTGATATTTCAAAATAGATCATATATTTTCTGCAACAATTCATTGGCATAGGTCTGTAATCATCTTCTGTGTATCTGAAATACTTTTCTGACCTTTCATTGATAGTCCTTTAGGCCCCCTTTGTACAACATTGTTATATGACATACATTGTTTAGCACAGGATTGTGTTATGTCAATATATATCAATATATTTACATCATTTAGCACTGAACTTTATAATGTATAACAATGTGTACAAAGAGCCTTAGTATGTGTTTCTGGATGTGAAATTTCTGGATGTGCCTCTTGAAATCTTTATCAAGAATGGTGAGAGTGAGGACTGATCTTAATCCAAATATTCCTATCAAAGAGAAGTGCAAATTTAACATTGGGGTGAGTGGTAACTTCTTCAGATTTGGAGATGATAAAACCTTGTACAGCGGGTAGACAGTGAAAAGTGGCTGCTTTTTTGGATTACAGAGCCCCAAAACACAAACTTCAAGTCATGAGACTGTAAAAATGGTGCAATCAATTACTTTCTTGAAACAGTATATATATAGAAACTCAATAGAAGTAATAGCCCGGTTCACAATAGCCAGTCATCAGCAAGTATTTTAGCCATTATCAGCAAATCATTGATACTGAAAAACACATCCATTTTTGAATGTGTAGTCCAGATACCCCCAGATTATTCCAGATCCATTCTAATTTTTTTTTGCTATCAGCAACTTTTAACAAGGTGGTCAGCCATTGGAACTGGCTATTGTGAACCGGGCTAATAGACTTAAAAAATAAAATAAACCAACATTTAGAAATGTAAAACATAAAAATAATAATAAAGATGAAAAATCAATACCTGATAGATTAGATCAGAATGTGACAAAATCTCAACACAATTCACAATGACATTAACTGACACACAGGCCTGTTTAGCAAAACTAGCCTAGAGAAATTGAATAAAAAGGAATGGTCAATATTCTGATTACAAGCCAGCAGAAAGTACAAGACTAAATACCTGCCCAGAAGCTGCTTCTAGCTGCTCCTCCTGAGTGCTTGAAGTAAACAACAATTGAAATTGGTTTTTGATTTGATTGATCAGCAAATAGATGTATTGAACCTGGGTTGTTTTTTGATTCGTAAAGAGATCAACAATTGGTTGACAGAAGATTGATGATTGACAAGTTTTGGCAATTGGATTCTTTGGTCCCAAACCGAAGATAATGGTGTCATTATCATCGGTTTGAAACCAAAGAGCAAGCAGAGCTGGGTGAGCTGGGTGAGCTGGGTATATGAGCTGGATGAGCTGAGTGAGCTGGGTAAAAACCGGTTTTGCCAATTTTTTTTTATAAAAAAACAGCCCTAACCAACCTAAACCCTAAACCTAAACCTAACCCAAAACCTAACCCCCCATTGAAGCAGGGGCCATTGGATTTCCGACAACTCCGCCAGGTCCCCAATGGCCCCACAATACCCAGGCAGATGAACTACTCCACTTGAACCTGTCCAGGTACTGTGCCTCTCCTGGGTTAACCCTAACCCTAACCCCCTAACACGGTAAACCTAACCCTAACCCCCATCAGAGGATGCGGCCAGTGGGAATCGAACCCACAACCTGCTGGATGGTCAGATGTTAGGGCCAGTGCAAACCGCTGAGCGCCAGTGTTTTTGGAAATCTAGTCAGCTGGGGGACCCAGCTCCAGGCAGCTCACCCAGCTCTGGCAGCTCTTCGGTTCCAAACCAAAGATAATGGCACCATTTTCTTTATTTGGGACCGAAGAATTTGAGTGACACAGGTGTGATTGACTTAAAGGAAAGAGACCCACACAGCAGATGACGCAAGTTCAAACTGAACTTAAACTAGATTAAACTGATTAATATTTAATTTCTGGGTTTAACATCAACACTCCTCCTAAACACGCACATTAACTAAATGTAATTGTTTGCATGCTTCAGCTAACTTTATTTTTCCTAACGGTTTGGTGAGAATATCAGCAATCACACTGCGTAAACTAACTTGTTGGACAAGCCAGTCCAACGAGTCTTTGGACAGACTTTGTCCAACGAGTTCAGCAGCCCAGTGGTGGCGCACAACAGGACTCGTCAAGCAACTTCAGTCCAAGGACTCATCAGACTGGCTTGTCCAATGAGTGAATTTGTGTAGTTTCATCTCAGTTGTCAATGCTTGAATGATTTTCATAACCTTGTTGATCATCAGTTGCCGGATAGATTTAAATTGAATTTTGATATGTTTGGTGTTTGGATTCAACTGAGGTTCTTTCCTAATTATTACAGCCCCAGAGTTATCATTAAAAATTGTAGGAACTCCTATTCCAATGTCTAGAGACGTGATTAGATTTGACATCCAACAAAGCTGTTTGGCACACTTGTTGATCAAAATAAATTCTGCTTTGGTGGTCAATTGAGCAACATCTGGTTTCTTTTTAGTCCTCCAGGACATGGGATGACCAAGAAAAGTAATAACATATCCAGACATTGAATTCTTTGTTACAAGATAAGTGCCATTGTGGTAAGCCAATCCTGAATCTCAAGGCACAGCAAGACTGCATATCACACAGGAATCACAGAACCAAGACCCTTCAGGAATTCCCCAGGCCCTCAAACAAATCCAACACACCAGGTATCCACACAATTGCCCCCCTCATGGGTAAAGACATCTTCCACACCTCTGAAACTCCTCAAATCAAACCAATGGGCACAATCCTAGTTCATTCTTGATAAGACTTAGCTCACACACCAACTACACACTAGTAATCCTTCTCAATATAACATCAAACCCCTCTCAAAAATATTCCTTATCTCTTATCTCCTTCCATCTTATGCCAAGAATTCCCATACATCAGTTGCATTTCATACTAGTCCTCTTTTGGTACTTTCTTCCCTGTGTATGTTCAATCCCAATATGGGTGAAATAATTAAACCCACCTCTTCCCCTTGAGAAGAATATCCAAGCCCCCCCCCCCTCTGTTTCAGGCTGAATTCATTACCTTATCTTAGATTGGCCCTTTCTTTGGTTTCATTCTAGTCTTATCTTATCCTAGTGCCACACTAAATTAGGCCACATTGTTCATATTTACAATTTTCTTCCTTGTTCATTCCTTGTTCCATTTTGTTCCATCCATCTTCCAACCACAAATTGACCACTCCCCAGAATTTTGTATATAAGGAGCTTTGTTTTTCTCTTCATTTGTTCCCCATCAGATCCTGCCCCAGTATGCCAGATAACTGATCACCCATTATTAGCCGGGTATATGCCCATCAAAATTTGGGATACCTTGATTTGTGAACAACTATATTTAGACTAGTAAACATAAGAAACATTAGACACACCATTCTAAAGAAATCTCCAAAGCCACACCTTTCCTTAAGAGTCCATACTCTTATATTTTCTTGTTACCTTACTCATTTTAGTTACCAGAGAGGCAGCCCAACAAAGCACCTATCCCTCTCAAGATCAACACCGCAACAGCTACTCTACACAAAGCGGTAGCGTAGCGAACAGCGCAGCGATTTTGGTCCCACTTCGCTACGCTTGGCAAAGCGCGGCGCCCGCTTCGCTATTTAGTTTGAAGTTGGGCGGAAAGAAATGAAATCTCAATAGCGCACTACTTTTAGCGAGGAGTAGCGGACCAGCGCTACACTTGCCGCTTTAATAGCGACTGATTCGCTAAATAGCGGCTGATTCGCTAAATAGTGGCTTTGTAGCGGCCTTAATTCGCTATCCAGCGACTTGCAAACGCTATTGCGCTTTTAATGTACAAGCGATCAAATCGGATATCCATTGCATGTATTTGGG